CTTACCCTCCTGCCACTCTGTTATGTGAAGGTCGCTGAGGTCACAGTTACACAGGTATGGCTGTGAGTGTATGACCACATCAGCTCCAAAAGCAAACCCTGGTATCCATTTGATTTTACATTTATTGCATCCGCGGCTCATTTGGCACATGTTTTCATTCATTAGAATAATCCTGACTCCATCTGTCGCCTTGTTTAATGATATTTCCGCCATTTCTCACTTAAGGTTTCATTTTAAAAATCCCACATTTGCATATTTGTCCGGCATGTATCTCGCATTTCTTCTGCTGCCATCTTGTTAGTAGTTTTTAGTGGACCAATTCAACATAACAGTTAACAAGAGGGCAATAAAATATAAAATATAGTGTGTCCTGTACAATAATAGCTATATCTGTAGTAGCAGGTGGGTACGTCTCATGTATCTTGAGACTTTTGGCTGTGTTTTAAAAATTGGGACTTGGGGGATTTTTATTATTGTGCTGCAGAAAGTGGAAATACTTTCTGAGTACTCGAGGTCTCTGGAAACACCTTCAAACCAGAGTTAAGGACTTTTAAAGAACCTTCCAGGTTTCTGCAAGATCACCAGGGATTTATCTCTCAGAAAAACAGATGCTCACCTCTGTGACCTGAACGTCACCATAATACACAAGAGGCTCACACTGTGGCTATATCTGTAGGTGGTCACCTGCCCAAATCCCCCTCAGTCCGAGAACCACCCCTACTTGCCATGCTGATCATGCATGTCGGCTAGTCCTTGACCCACTGTCAGCATCTCCGGACTCTAAAGCCGTCCGCGTCACGTCCTCTTTGTTCCATAGATTGTGCTGATTAAGGGCGGCATTTAAAGCAGGAACTGGAGCAATCTGCCACCAGCTCTGCCTGCCCTGCCCGCCTGCCTGCCTGCTTTCCTCTTCGACTGTTCAGTCAGCAGCTAGCGGCCTGATTACAGCCGGCTTTATGGCTCAGCCTGGACAGATGGTGCGGCTAGCACCGTCCACCCCTACCCCTGCCTGCCTGTGCTCATTCTCACCCGCTGTCGCACAACTGCCAGGGCCGTTCAGTGCACGACTACCAGGAAATTATCATACAAAACACATGCATACCACAGTCAGTGTGAATATACTGACAAATATGTTGTGAATCTTTAAGGGATAGTTCATAGTTTTTTAAGTGAGTTGTATGGAGCACTTATCAGTGTAGTGCCTACAGTAGATGGCGGTCGGTACGCCTCCAGTTTGGAGAAGCAGGCAGGTCTACGGCCATGGAAGCTAAGCGAGTGGACGGTGCTACAGCAAAACATATTTTAGTCACCTAGAAAAATTATTATGTGTTTAAGTGTACACTATTTATAGTTATTTTTAAAATTCAGATTAAAGAAAAGAGGATATTACATTTTAATTAGTGAGCTTTGGTGCTTGTAGGCAGATTTTGTTACCCTTGGACAGAGCCAGGCTGCAGTGATAACCAGCTGCTGGCCACATTTCCATATTTAACGGATGGACACGAGAGTGGTTTCAATTATCTCATCTAGCTATAATAAGTGAAATTTCCCAAATGTTTAACTATTCCTTTAATGATTCATCTTAGATTAATACAAATGACTTTTTGTGTACAGATGCAAGTAGCGCTGCCCCTGACAAAGTGTATTCCTAGATGATTGTGTCATCATTTAGAGCCATTAGTCGACAAGTCACCCGCATGTTTACGATATTAATTTAATCATTAAATTCTATATTTTGGGCGGGGCAACACAACAGTTTGAGTTCAAGGTTTGAGATGTTAACACTGTGCTTCATTACAGAGAAATACAAAACTGTACTAATGAACCTTCATTAATATAGGCCTATATTTTGTCTACAAGTGCATGTCATACACTGAGTGAGCCGCCTGTTAATGACGCTGTCGGCAAAGCAGTAATGATTGTGCTAATGGGCATGTAGCTACTTACATGTTTCAGATAATATGTCATGTTTGTAGTCGATGAATGAAGATGATTTACATATCACCTTGGGTTGGCCTTCACCTTCTCAAAATGATCCCACACTTTGGATTTCCTGCCCGACATGTTATTAACTAGCCTGTGGAATAACCGCAGGTACCAGCCCTGGAAATTAGGGGCCATACACATGCCACGTCACATGCCTACTCTTGTGCCTTCTTTGTGCCAGCTTCCAAGAGCGCAGCGACAGGTTGCTTCTGAGGTTGCTAAATAACCTTAACAAGCGTGTGTAGGCCTATCGTCCGTGGGACAGATGTAAAGCTGTGGGTAGCCCTGCATTACCATGTAGTCTGCACTAACATGATCAACTTTTCCGTGTTTATCAGACTGAATATTTACAGAAGGGAAAGATATCTGTCGGCTGTGATTGGTTTGTTGCATGACTCCTGTCTGACTGCTGAGCGTGGCCTCTTCCTGTGTCTGTCCTTTCACATTAAATTCCCATATGGTCCAGTCATATAGGTTTTAATTTATTTTGACAAGGCACAGCTCCTGATAGAGCTCCACTTTTTTTTTTCTACAACTAAGTGACCAATGAAATCTTGCCGACGAATGAACTTTCTAGTCGACCAACGTTTGATCGACAATTAGGGGGCTCTCTTTCTGTGTGATTTTATGCACTTGTCATACACTTCTGGTTTGATAAGTAGCATGAGGCCCATGACAGTCATGGGGTTTGAGACTGCAGAGAAGAGGAAGTGATTGTCCTTGCTAATGCAGTGATATTTGACAGACTGGGTGAATCCCTCTCTAAAATTAGCATATTTTGAACCATGATTTCAAGTGAAGCCTTTCCTTTGTCTTCTTTAACTTCACTGTGAATCAGGCCAGCAAAAGAAAACAGTGTCATGAAATTCAGATGATTCCCACCTGACTCTGTCAAAGCCCTTCTTTTGTCAAGATGTTGCCTTCCAACAATGCCTGGCTGTCACTCCTCATCCTCCGCTGCTCCTGAATGTCACTTTTATCTGATCATTTACGTTTACATGATCCCAGCTGGGTCCAAGATCATTTTAGGTATCTGGTGCTGCTGTAGCTTCTTTTCACAGAATCAGAAAGTGAGTGCACGCAGGGTTAAAGTTCACCCTACAGCTCCGGGGATAAAGAAGGCATGTGGCACTTATTCAGATGCAAATAGGCCGACGCATTTTTCACATGCGCTGTTAACCACCTGTTTTGCATGCATCTTGCAGTGTTAGCAGCACAAAATAGAAGCTCAGATTGGTTTGAGCAGACACAGGACTTCAAGGTCAAGGTCACTCGCTCAGTGTTGGCTGCTGTGATTGCACTTAATTCAAGTCATCAGCACACACACACACACACACACACACACACACACAAACATACGGCTACAAAATCACACACAATAAGTCTGTAAGTGTTGTTTTTTTGCACATTTTGTATTCAATCTAGTCATTGGGACGAAGTGTTCCCAGAATTGTGATCTTAGCAGAAGTTGGGACTCATTCCAGAAAAAAATCATCCATCTTGTGTCTCTGGCACCGATTCAGTCCCTTTTTATTATCACTTTGTGTGTGTGTGTGTGTGTGTGTGTGCTTATGGAAAGTGTAAAAAAAAGACAATCACAATTGAAGGATGCAATGATCCATTTCAAACAACAAACCATCCAATAAAAGTGTAAAACAGCTTGAAAATAGATCCCATTTTAGATGTTTATAGTTTCATTTTGAAGCAGTTGGTGGCTCGTGCATCACATCATTGCAGACATTTTAACCCAGTATAACCCTGTGGTCCTTGGGCAGGTTTGCACCGGCAGCTTTGCAGTTGACATTAAAAACAAGGCACGTTTGGACCTTTGGTATCACTGTTATACCTTGGAGCAACTTGCCTGAGGAGCTCTGGCTGCCTAAAAACTGCCACTGGCTAAACAGCAGAATCTTACAAAAGACAATGTCCTGGTGATCTGGGACAGTACTTTTTGTTTTATTATCTGAAGTCTTGTGTGAAACCAACAAATCCTCCAAATTAAAGGAACACCTCACCCCTCAAATGACCATTTGTTTATCATGACTCACCCTGTGTTACATTGAAATTGCTACTGGTCTACCACTGCCTCCATCAGTTAGTTTTTTTGTGTTATTGTGTGACTCATTTATCCTTTCATATGCTCAGTAATTCCCAAACACACCCCTTTCCAACAGGGAACTGAACTGAAAGTGAAACTTATCGAGGCTCTCTTCAAAGCCAGAGTCCATTGACAAAAACAGTAATTATACCTCACTGAACACAGGAGCTGCTGGTCTACCACTGCCTCGATCAGTTAGTTAGTTTCTGTTATTGTGCGACTTCGGTGTTTTAAAGGGTTAGTTAGGATTCGCAGTAGTCACGCAACAACACAAACAAACTTAACAATCGAGGCAGTGGTAGACCAGCAGCTCCTGTGTTCAGTGAGGTAAAATTACTGTGTTTGTCAATGGAGTCTCAAAGCGAGCTTAAATCGTTGCACTTTAAGTTCAGTTCCCCAATGGAGAGGGCTGTTTGATGGCAAATATTTTAAATATAGCGTACAACAATACATTGCTTAGCTATGGTGTGATTTTGGTGATTTCGTACTAAACTTTTAAAACACCAAAGTCACACAATAACACACACAAACTAACTGATGGAGGTAGTGGTAGACAGCAGCTCCTGTGTTCATAGAGGTAAAATTACTGTTTTTGTCAATGGAGTCTGGCTTTGAAGAGAGCATAGGTTGGATTATACTGACTGAGATGTGTGAGAGTTTATTAAAGGATGTTTTTATATCGTTTTGCTATTGTTTAATGTGGACCCTTATGACTTTAATTCATCAAGAGTTTTCTCCATTTTTGGATTCTTCGTTCACCATGGAGACATGCAAGAAAAACTTTTTTTTTCCCGTTAATTCAACCTAACACGGGATGAGTTACTGATATACAAATATTCATTTTGGGGGTGCAGTCTTCCTTTAAATGATGAAATACATTGTTTGTCCTTAACAATGGTATGTGTTTTGTGTGCAGGATGGAAGAGACGGTGCGGTCGCTGCTGCAGAATCAGGGCGTTGTGGAGCAGACTGCTGTGGACACAGTGGACATCATGAAGGCCTACAAGGTACACTTCAACCTCCTGTGGTCATTCAGTGAGACTAAATTGACCGTGTAGAGAGAGTCTAAATAAGGAGGCATTGAGGTCACTGATGATACGTACTCATTTTCTGTATTTACTCTCCAATGTGGCAGTGGTCATTTTGTAGGTATCTTCAGTTGTATCTCCCTCCTCGTATTCTTCATCTCAGACAGTGTTGAAAAAAGCTAGACTGAGCCAAGGTAAGAGCGTTCATCGCTGACCCTGTTACATAAGAGAAATAGCTGCTGGGATTGAGCAAAGAGGCAGAAAGAATACCACATACTTCTGAAGCACTGGGTCACCTCTGGGGTCGTGCTTCACAATTTGGAGCTTGACGTGTTTACACGGCATTGCAGCGCTGAAATGCTGTTGCCTCAGTCTGTTTATCATCACTGTTGTTATTCACTTGTGTTTCCGAGAGCCTAAGTTTGCTTCAAATTCTGTGTGATGCATTCATTTGTAGACTTAAAAATACCTCTTTAAGTATTTATCCAGAATCAGCACCACACAAATATTTCTTTTATGCCACATTCGAAGCATATGACGACTTTAGTGTCCATAAAGCAGCAACCAAATTAGTGTTTTTTTTTTAACATCCAGCAGCAAAATGCCTCCAAGGAATAGAAGAAAAGGGCATCACTAGTTCAGCAAGCATGCAATAAAAAGAGTGTTTTTATAAATGAATACATGTGTTCATCACTGTGAATAAAAGATGGAAATATACGTAGAAAATCTTTGAATGATGAGCGGAAATAAAAGTGGGCAGAATAAAAAATGAGCACTATAAGATTAAATGCCAGTTGCTTTACGAGAGGAATGTGAAATGCGGGATTAGCAGCAGTGATAATAGATTGATGCGCTGTAAGTTGTCCTGAGTTGCAAAAGCTTTATAATGAAAATATGACTCTACAGTGCAGTCTGAAATTCATGTGACAAGAATACAAATGTATGTAAATATGCAAATAATGCTGTCTGTGCACACAGAGTAATCCTTTGCATGGTTCCCCACCACAAACGGATTATGTGAGAAAGAGAGTGACAAAGGTGATAGGAAGTGGAGTTTGAAGTGGTGTGTGGAGGCACAGAGTAAATATTTTCAACCCAAAATCCTCACTGCAACTGTTTTCTTGGTTTATAAATTAATTATAAAGTCTATAAAATACCAAGTACATTTAATTTACAGTGATATGAAACAGAGAAAAGCAGCACATTTTCACATTTGAGAAGCTGGAACCAAAGAATGTTTGGCCGTCTTTGTAGTTAAAGGATTTAGATGTCTTCATTTTTCTTCATTAATTTGCCATTGATTGAATCTTTGATTGATTAATTGACAAATTATTTTAGCACTACTTTTGTTGATACTGTTCAAGAGAGTTGTTTCAGCTGAAATAATCTAATGATAGGAGTAGAAATTGAAACAGATTAAATTCTAATTCCAAATGTATGACCCAGTCTCCAGAAATAATTTTGGCATTGTACATTTCTGGAAATGTTTTGTTAAGCAGTGTCTAATTGGGCAATAATCAGGGAGGCTGATATCAGTTAGATTAACCCGCAGTGGATTAAATGCCTGAATCCCTCACGTTTAGGTAGGCAATCTGAATCCAGCATGGTAATGGCAGACTCTGCCACCACCGATAAAATATACTAAAAATAGACAGGTAATTACTAAATGTAAATACACAAAATTAAATTGATTAAATTATTTAAATGCATTTCTACATTGGACTTTTCTGCAAACCACAGATATGGAACATTTGTAAGTTATTATTTAGCAGATATGTTGAAACTGTATGATTTTGTATGTTTCAACAATGCTGCAGTTCATGTGTGGTTAGATTTGGACTCAAAAAACACTTAAATATGGTCAGGAAAACATCATGTCATTGGCTTAAAATACCCATTTTTGTCCCCACAAATATGTTTTGGTCCCCTGATAAAAAACATGCAGTTTTGGTGCCACAATTAGGCCTGTGAATTCCCAGATGTCTCATTCAAAAACACCCAGTTTTGGTGCTACATTTGCAGCTGGAAATGCCCTGATGTTTTGCCAAAAAATACCCTTTATTGTGCCTCAATCATGGCTGGAGATGCCCAGATGTTTTGCTAAAAAATACCTGGTTTCGGTGCCACAAACACAGCCAGATATAACCAGGGGTCCGTTTCACAAAGCAGGTTTAGTGAAAACTCAGAGTCTGTTAACCCTGAAATGAGGGAAAATGAGTTTTCTGTTTCAAAAAGGGAGGTAACTCAAACCAGAGAAAGAGGGGTAACTCTAGCCTGTTTCAGAGAGAGAGGTAACTTAAGCTCTTGGTCAGTTACCGTAGTAACAGACTCTGTGAACCTAACCTGGTCGGGACCAGGTTTTTCTCAATGAACCTCGAGTTTCTCTCTGTCTCCGCCCTCTTTCAGAGCCACACACTCCATTTGATTTCCTCATTCATTCAGTCAGCAGGCGAGTTTTGGCGTAGCCTAGTTCTGCCGTCTGTCATTAAAAAAAATCATTTAAATTTAAATCAGAGTCAGTATTAGAAGTCCATTAGGCACAGTAGGTGGCGACTTTTTTCACTAACATGGCATGTCCTTTTGATAACGATCCCGTGGATGAAGACTGCGCAGAGAATTAAATATTCGTCAGGAGATGGTTATCAGACCGCGCATAGATGTTTTAGCATTTCCACACAATTATCTTTTTGAGCG